ATAAATAAAAAGAGGGGTGAAGGAATAAGTGAATGACAGGTAATTAAGAGGAGTAGTAGGAGTAGCAGCAGCAGCAACTACTGTTGTTAGTATTTACACAGCACATTAGAGTTTTCAGAGAATTGGGATATATTGTCTTCTTGTAACCCTAAACCGCTATCTGTAACATGAAACGTTGTTCCTCTTCTAGATGACAATTCTCTCTTGAGGTTCTGAGAAAGCAGCAGTGCTGAAATTCCAATAAATTCAAGGCCAAGGCAAGACAGCATTTGAAACACACTAAATGTGCAATGATAATTTTGTTGATAATTGCTTTGTGAGGAAGTAAAATACAGGCAATAATAACAGGATAGCCCTGTTGTTTTGTTCTCTCTTTCAAAAGCCAAAAAGAAGCCAAATTCAAATTAGATTAGTATAATAATAAGTCAGTGCGACACTACCACATTCAGAGCTCGCAAACTTAACAAACCACATCACAATGTATTTTCTTCATTATATTCGCGAAGGCTTTCACGGCCGGGATCTAATGGTTGTTCTGGGTTTTTTCGGGCCCTTTGGCCGTGTTCTGAAGGTTGTTCTTCCTGATGTTTCGCCAGTCTCTGTGGCCATGGGCATCTTCAGAGGACAGCAACCTTGAGCACAAAATGCTGTCCTCTGAAGATGCCGGCCACAGAGACTGGCGAAACGTCAGGAAGAACAACCTTTAGAACACGGCCAAAGGGCCCGAAAAAACCCAGAACAACTATTTTCTTCATGTTGAACTGTTGAACCAACTCGCAGTAAATGAAGAAGGTAAATGAGAGAAAGGCCACAGGGTGGAAAAGGCCAAAATTGAACATCACAGCCATCAGTGCTCTCTCCAAAACCTTGTCATCATGGGAAGCCCATATGGATGGTGAGCAAGAACGTGGACTTAGGCATAGCCACGCTGAAATCCGTGTTGACTTCTAAAATTCATTTCAGGAGGACAGCTTGGGAAGTTATTATCCCTTTGCACAAGGATCAGCAGCTTATGGTAATCTAAGTGTTCTTAGATAACCGTTCCGCATCAGTCCCAGTCAGCAACACCGGTGTTGAAGTGTGAGGGGAAGGGAAGACCAATAACGTCACACTGCCCACCTTTCCTTTCACCCAACCTGCCACACAGGGCTATTGGGTAGCTAAAGTGTTGTTCAGAGCAAACTGGAGGAAGGCAATGAAGGAAGGAATGTTTTCATTAGGCCTGAGCATAGGTCCAATTCTACTTTGCTTAGATTGGTGTCCTCCAGCAGAGCTGGAGGGAGAATTTATGCAATTTTTAGGAATCCCACCCCCTACCAAATTATGCTTTCAGGTGCCTAATTTTACATGGTGGCCAGTTGTCTTCTCCTGTTTTTTCTTCAAGACAGGCAAGTGGTGGTTAGTTGCTTTAAAAATCTCTTTAAGAACTTTGTTGTGTGATTGTAATTCCTAGAAACATTGTATGGAAAAAAAAAGATGACCACACTGCTAGGTAGCAGGCAACATCATCATCACAGAAGAACACTTCTAACTCTGTATTTAAAGGCACTGGCAGCCTCTGACCATTGCGGCAGGTTGCCTTTATTTCATACTAACAGGGAGGAGGGGAGGGGAAGAAATATAGAAAGACCACGGAGCCACATCCTACAATTTTAAGCATCCTCTGCATCCTGTGTGGTCTCCCTCCAATCTTTTTGGGAGACTATTGGTTTTTTTTTTTTTAACCTACCCTACGAATTACATGAAGACAGAGAAATTAGCCAGAATTGGAATTCAGATCAGCTGCGCTTTTAATCTTCAATGCTGATTTCAAAAAGCCACATACTTGCTCTTCGTATCATATTACACATCTCTGTTAATGGCAGTGCAACACCCTTAACCGCAATCTTCTGCAATATGCATAATAATGTTTTAAACACATTACACAGGGCAATTAGTTGCCTTGAGGTTAACTGCCAAAGAAAAATGTTCGTCAGGCAGAAACTTATAATATGCATTCCTTTACATGCTATTTTTTTTTAAAACAGGCATTTTGAATAGGATCAAGTATTTGACCTAAATTAATTTATGGAAAACCATCACAGAAATGACCATAAGTACAGCATCCAGGGATGACATGGTGATTTTGGTGGTGGTTTATTATTCAGATGCTACAGTAACCTTTCCTGGTGCTCTCTGAATTTTTTTTTTTTTTTTACGATATCCACTGTACTTTCTGGAAGTTGGCCCTGCAACCTGGCCTTAATGGATTGCTATCCACAACACCTGAAGACATGAGGCTGGGGAAAGCTGCTATGTACACTTTCCACGGAGTAAGGCTTACTGAACACGTTAAAATTCAGGTTGAGTAAATTTGCATAGCACTGGATTGCATAGATTTGTATTTGGAAGACAGATTTATCTGAAGTACCTTCATTTTTCTCTCAAATTCTTTTGCATTTTTTGAATTGCTCTAGTAAAAACTTTTGGGCAAAAGAACCACAGAGAGCTGATGTTAGAAGTTAGTCTTTAATTTCTAAAAAAAGCAGCACTAGCTTGAGCTTTTATGTCTGCTAAGGATGAATACTTGCCTTTTTTCTCCTTGATATAGATTCCCCTTAAAAGAAAAAAAAACTGTCAACAGCTATGAGATTTTTCACTTCTGTACAAAAGAGAAATGACATGATTTTTTTAAAATCAGCAACAATAACAACTAAAGCTAAAACAAACTGCACATTTTGCATTAATACCTTTTTCTTCTGCATGAAATACAAGGGGTTGTTGTTGTTGTTTGCTCAAAAACAACTTATATGATTTTTGGGGGGTGAAAAATAAACAAATCTGAAATGTGAGAAAAGAGGCACAACAGCTCCGGTAATCTCAACTAGTAGGGAAATGGTTTTAAATATTTCATGTTCGCAGGGGAATGTAAGTGAAAATTTAGATTCCCAATTCTATTACATTTTCCGACCAGGACATCCTGGTGATCTTCGCTTGGGGTCATACATGGGTGAAGGCAACACACACTGCACTAACAAGGTCCTCTTGTTTATTACTAATCACATCTTAAAAAGTTGATTCTGTGTATTAAGAGAAAAATACAGATACAGTGGTGCCCCGCATAGCGAGGTTAATCCGTTCCGGATTAACCTTCGTTATGGGGAAACATCGTTAAGTGGAACGGGGAAACCCATTCCAACGAATTTTAATGCGTTCCAAATGGGCCCAAAACTCACCGTTCTCCGATGTTTCCCCATGTTCCGGTGGCCATCTTGGGAGTCCCGGCGGCCATTTTTGGTGTTCCGGCGGTCATTTCGGGTGTCCCAGCGGCCATTTTTTGTGTTCCAGTGGCCATTTTGGGTGTCCAGCGGCCATTTTAGACCGCCGAACAGCTGTTCCCCCATCGCAATGCAAGCATGCCCTCGCATTAGCGATGGGGAAATCCGCATCACAATGCAGATTCATTGTTAAACGGTGCGCTCGTTATGCGAGGCAACATTGTATAGATATAGACTCAGATATAATTTGTTCAGCCATGATTTAAGTCTGTATTTTTAAATAACTCAAATAATATCTTACATTGTATTGCATCAGCAAATGCAAGCATTTGTCCCTATACTCAATAAATATACAATGTAGTGATAGCATGCTCATTCTGAAGACTGCATCATATAGTCAAAAGTGCACTATCCAAATACAAGAGGAAGATCATCAGTAGACCAGTGAAGCACATCAAGACATGCAGAAGTACAAACACAATCAGAGGAATATCCCTGAAGGGTGTATATGTCCAATAGGAATGGAATGCTGATTGGTTATAGAGAGAATAAAGTAAAACTGAGGATATATGTGGAATGGATACTCAGCACAATCTTCCATACTGCAACATTTTATCACATACTTTTCTTTCCAGCTATTCTAGATACAGTGGTGCCCCGCATAGCGACGTTAATCCGCTAAGCAGGAATCCTCCATAGGGCCATCATTTTCGCCGCCTCAATAAGCAAGGAAACGGCGTGAAAACGCTGCGGACAGCCATTTTGTTGATCCGGTGGCCATTTTGGAACCACCGATCAGCTGTTTTCTAAACATCACAATGCGAAGATTGGTAAGCGAAACGCTTACCGATCCCCGCAGTGCGATGTTTTGCCACCTAAAACATCGTGATGCAATTGCATTAGCGATTGCAAAAAAACGCGTCGCTATGCGGATTCGTCGTTAAACGGTGCACTCATTAAGCGAGGCACCACTGTATTTAGAAAAGGATATTAGCTGATCAGGGCAGTAGCCTTAGTACAGACTGACTCCCTTAGAGATATTTTATGTATCTTCCCCAAATGCTTAGTGTTTGGAAAAGAGGAAATACATTGTAACCCAATTTTTAAACTCAACTCGTAAAGATAAAAGGAAAAGTATACAGCCAAAGTACCGCTTAATTGCCATCGAGACAATATTTTTTTTCAAACTTCTGGTCAATGGATGCAGTGCTCATTGGGAAAACTGGCAAGTCCTTATTTTAAAATAGTAGTAAAGCAAATTTTTTATTTTATTAACATCTAATGCAACAAAATAAAATTTTGGCTGAATCTCTATACCTAGTTACTCACCAGGAATTATTTCAGAAGTAGGTGTGTACAGAATGGTGACATACATGGAGTTAGGTAGCCTATTTATCTTCATGTCCCAGGTATTCTGCCATGACTTTTGTAATGTGACCTTTTGTTTCCACTTCACCCCCAAACATTCTGGCTACAGGCTTACTGAAACTGAAGGGAACAGCTACACAATAGTGGCCAACACTAGTGATTAAATATGAAAGATTATCCTATTGGGAATGTATCCTAAGTAACTGAAAAAATAGCAAATTCTAGAAGGCTTTGCTTTGATCTGCTGAACCGATACAAAAATTATTCTAGAAATGGTCAAGGTTGACCTACATACTGGTATGACTGAGTCTTAGAATTTATATGAACGCAGTGGTACCAAACAAAACACATAAAGCTGAGACCGGAAATACTCACGTCAGAGTTAAAGCGAAGTTGACAGACATTACAGGATATGACTTGCTTCTTCTTTGTGGGGAGTGACACACCAAACGTGTGGTTTATGACGGCTTTTTGCACTGGATCCATCTGAGCGGTACAGAATAAAATATGCATGTCAGAAGGAATACATTCAATGAAGGAGGAAACACTGAAAATTTCTCTCTGAAAAATTTTGCTCTTCGTTTCACAGAGCAGTAAACCGTTCCCAAAAACAATGTGGTGACTATGACAGTATGTTTGCAAAACAATGAATGTTATAAAATGACGAACCTTTTACCCCCTCTGATCCCTGGAAAGATGTCTTCAGCCAATAGCCCACTAAAAAATTATAAATAAGGAGACATCTCAGAGAGCTTAACTCTCTGTCTTCTCCCTTCTGCTTCATGGTCTGAATTCCAAAACAGCAGAGCTGCATACTGGCATTTCACAAGCAATAGTTTCCCCCTCATTTTCTTGGCCCCTTTGAAGGAGAGATCTGAAAGCATCTTTGAGAGGGAAGAAAGAAGAGGAATACAGAAGCCTGACACATGGGGGACTTTCTTTTGTGATGTATTTGGCTTGTGTTTGTTGTCAAAGTGGTCTTGTTAAACAGACCTGGGAGTTGCACTCATGAGCAAAAGACCTCATCCATGTTAGGGTAACATCTTTGTTAGGTCAACTCAAAGCCCGTAAAATATATGCAGCTTCTTGAGTTCTCCAAAACTTTTCATCAGACGGATGGTACACACACACACACACACACCCAGAAAAAGAGGAAGGAGGTAACAAAAGAAATGGGGAGATAATGTTCAAGCCATGTTGTCTGCTCTTAATCGAGGTGTTAAGATGGAATGGGGGAGGAGGCTGCAATCATACAAAGTAAGCTCCACTAGATGTTATGATAGTTTTAGGTGGCACCAAAATGAGCAGGAGAATTTTCATATCAAAAAAAAAAAAGAATGGCACCTGTCGGTAAGGAAGGAGATAAAAGAAGAAATAAATTTGCATAAAACTCCATAAACCTATAGATGCAAAATTCTTAATTGTTTTTATAACTTGAACAGAACTGCTATCCATCTTACCCCACTGGGAATGACTGTAATTAGGCAACCAAAGTGCCAGCTGAGTCTGCTCTCCATTTACTGCCCTTTATCTCCTTCCCTACGGTTCTTCGGCTTTGAATGAGGCTTTGACTGGCCATTTTGAAATAATATAACCTTTTCAAAAACCTACCTAAGCTGTCAGCATTATTCTAGTGGTAATGAGTTCCTTAATTTTGAGTGAAGGGAAATAGCTCTCATTTTGGTCTGTCCTGAATCTTGTGCCAATCAATTTCATTATATGAAACATTGGGGCATAAAGCTTCACTGGTCCTGCCATAGTTACAATCTGGAATCCGCCTTCTCTCATTCCTTCTAGCTTTTGGCCTCCCCTCGGCCCCTTTCATAAACAGGGGGAGCTAGAGTTTTGCATCCAACCTATTATGTTTTCTTTTATTATTATTATTATTATTATTTGAAAATTTTTAACTAAAAAAGATACAGAAAAAAGAGACCAAAAAAGAAAACATAGTTTATAAACCCCCTTCATAACCCAACACCATAGAAACAATATAATACCTAGTGTACTGCCCTTCACTGGGACCATCTGGAGATATGACCAAATTTCCCTCCATTTTTGGAGCTGTTTCTCTTCCAAAACAGCACTGATTGTTGCAAAGGTGCACAACTCTTCCCCTTCACTAACACAATCAATACATTCTCCCCATATACCTATAAAATATTTTTATTTATGCTTTCTTATCTATGCTTTCTTTAGTTTTGATATTACACATTAATTTATCCTTAACAGTATATTGCACACTTCTTTGTACCATTCATCCAATAAAAAAAAATCATACTTTACTATCTATCACTCATCTTGTTGCTGTTAATATATTTGAAATGAATTATTGGGTTGCTCAACTCCATTGCTCCTAATCAAATATTGATAAGAGAGCTTTCTTAGGGAAAACCTCTGTATTTAACTTCATTATTTCCTTTATTTCCTTGAAGACCAACTTCCAGAATTTCAATATATTCTCACATTCCCACAACATATGGAAATAATTACCTACTTCCTGACACCCTCTCCAACATAAATTAGAATATATTCATTATCTAAATAATTAATTTCACTGGAGTTAATTTATAGAAAAAAAACATTATCTTGATAGATATACACTTTAATATCCTTCTGTCCCATATGTTCTTCCACACCTCAATACTTATTCTCCCAAATCATATTCCCATATTGGTTTAAGAGTATCTACTCATAGTTGGTTGTCTGCTTCTATTAACATCTTATAAATTTTACTTGTTTTCCCTTTCATTAACGTATTTTCATCTACCTTTTCATTCTGTACTACCAGTTCTTGAAATCTTGCAAGACCACTACATTAATTTTTTCTAACCTACTCTTTATTCCATTGTTCTAATTAAATGAGATTAAACCAAGATACTGGTTCCAAACGTAATACCGCTATTATTTGCACTTTACTACCCATACTTCCCAACCAATCTTTTAACTTAAAATTTTGTTTTTTCCTTAATAGGTTCTCCAAATTCCATTTCAAATTTCCTGGAAACCCCTCCAACCCTACAACTGTTAGTGGAATAAATATTTTTCTATACTTGTTCCAAATAAATAACACATTTCTTTTAAAAAGGGGATCTTCATTTTTAAAACAATGCTAATATTATTTATTTTAAAAAATATTCACTAGTTTCTCACTAATATCCTGTGATTCCAAACTTAACCATATTAAATTCTTATGCTGAGATATAATTTCAGTCATTTGATTAGCTATATAATATAACCTTACTTTTGAGATTTATACCATATCTTCTGATATTTCCACTACAGAATTTATTAATCATATTTTGCCAGTCTTTCAGCTCTTGTACAGATATCAGTAACTTCATATACTGTATAACAATTAATCTTCCATAAAAGCTTAATTTTACAAATTGCTATTCTACCAAGGTCCGATCTCATCCAACTTGTTTCTTTCAAATGTTTTTTATACCCAAGTACTGAACAAATTTTTATATATTAACATCAGTTTTTACTCAACTAACTCCTTTTTCTCTTTAGCATAGTTAAATAACATCATCTCTGATTTATACCAATGTATCTGTAACACAGTTATCTCTCCAAGTATTTTCAAAAGTAATTTATCCTGATCCATAACCATAAATGTGTTCTCTATTGTTAATAAAATATCTGCAAATAAACTAATCTTAATTTTATACTTAAAATATATGCCACAAATTAAGTTATATTCTCTAATAACATTCATTAACAATTCTATAGCCAATGCAAACAATATCGGGGAAAGGGGACATTTCTATCTAGTATCTCAGCCTAACGATATCTATTTGGTTTATGAGGAAATGGGATGTGTAGTACTTATTTCTCAAGGCTTCCACAAGCGGTGTTTGTCAGCTTTAGAAAGAGACTTCGAGGTCATGCCAAAAGAAGACAAATGATAAATTCCATCTTCATTGCATGTCAGCAGAGATTCCTGGGAACTAAGAGGCTGGACTTTGGAAAAGTTACCTTCTGGGTAGTGTCGTTCTGAACAAAGAACTTTACACTGATTGGATATCATCACCCTTCAGAGACTTACCCTTTAAAGAGGGGTATTCCTGACAATGCTATACTATCATTCATTAACACGGTTGCAATATTCTCTAAATATAATTGATTTATCATACCTTTAAAACATTCTCCAAAACTTAATATCTTTACTATCAATTTTAGCGACCGTTCCACACAATCAAAAGCTTAAAAAGTATCTGATGAACACAAGAATATAAGAAGAGTCCTGCTGGATCAAGCCAAAGGCCCATCCAGTCCAGCTTCCTGTATCTCACAGTGGTCCCACCAGATGCCTCTGGGAGCACATGGGAAAACTAGATACCTGTCTCCTGATACTCCTCCCCCTGCATCTCGCATTTGGAGGTACCTTCCTTCTAAGTCTGGAAATTATACATCCCCATCATGGCTTGTAAACTATGATGGACTTTTCATCCAGAAATCTGTCCAATCCCCTTTTAAAAGCATTGAGGCCAGATGCATCACCACATCCTGTGGCAAGGAGTTCCACAGACTAACAACACACTGGGGAAAGAAATCTTTTATTTTTGTTTGTTCTCACTCTCCCAACACTCAATTTGAGTGGATATCCCCTGGTTCTAGTATTGTGTAAAGGGAAAAGAGCTTCCCTTTACCCACTTTATCCATACCCTGCGTGATTTTATGTCTTAATCATGTCCGCCCTCAGGTGCCTTTTCTCTAGACTCAAGAGCCCCCAACGCTGTAGTCTTTCCTCATTAGGGAGGTGCCCCCAACCAAGTCATCATTTGATTCACTCTCTTCTGCACTTTTTCCAGTTCCACAATGTATTTTTGAGGTGCGGCCTTACCTGAAGTACTTTGATCTATTTTAATATGTTTATAATATGCAATAAAACATTTTAATATGTTTATAATATGCAATAAAAATATTCATTCTTGTTGCTTAGCATCATGATTTATTAAGAAAATAGATCTATAAGATCCAGAATCTGTGGGATCTTTATTTGGCTTTGGGATTAAAATAATTAATGAATACTTTCAAGTTAAATGAATCACTTCTGTTTCTATTATTTTATTTAAAAGGCTCCTTAACTTACATATTAACACTTTTCTAAAACCGTTATTGTATTCCAGTCTTGCCTACCTTTAATTTATTAATAATATCCTCTATCTCTTCTTCTCCAACAGGCTATTCCATCAAACCTCTATCCATACCTTGCAATCTATTACCCACATTTTTCTCAATATATTCTCTAATCTTCAAAAAAAGCTTCCCCGCTATATACAATTTATGAAAAAAACCCATACACTTCCAACTTATTATTCATCAAATTGCACTTTTTACTCATTTCACCCTTACTCCAATTAAACTCGTAGCTTTTTAAAATTGTGTTGCTCTAGCCAACATTCTTATTGCTGGATTCAAAATAATGTATTTTCAGATATGTTAAATTCCTTTGAATTTTTTCCTTTTCAGTATTCTGCAAC